AAACTACATAAATAAGAAAATAGCCAGGCAAGGTGGTGCATGCCTGTAATCCTAGCTATTCAGGAGGCTGGGGCAGGAGGATCACAAGTTCATGGCCAACTGGAGCAACTTCATGAGACCTCGTTTCAACATAAAAAGGCTGGCGGGCTGAGAATTTAGCTCAGTGGCACCTGCCTCGAAAACGCAAGGTCCTGAGATCGATCCCTGGTACCAAATAAATGGCTGGGGATGTAGCCCAGTAGTAGAAGAGGTACCTAGCATTTGGGAGGTCCTGGGTTCGATCCACAGTACAGTACTGCCAAGAAAGAAAAGAACAAACCAAAACCGAAGTTCGTTTCCTTGTCAAACTTGGACCAGAAAGCTTTGAAGTGGTGCTTGCTTTATTTTCTATTAACATTTATTACTTGTACATGTTAATAGATTTCACTGTAACATTTCAGCACAAGCATAGTATCTGACACTGGAAGGACATCCTGCTTTTCAGAAACAAGTACTGCCTTGCGTGCACAATACGTGATCCCACAAAACAAGTCACACTACATACTGCTGTTAAATAAGTTGCTTTTACAGATAAAAGTTGCAATGTAGATTACACATACCTGTGAGAAAGGAACCAAAACTGGGACTTCAACTAGTTAACACTGCCACTTAACTGTTGAGTTGGACACATGTGCCTTGCATTAATCCCAAAGGCCTTTGCTAGTCATTCTTTACTCAGCATGGCCTGCATGCTGCATGCCAGAGATACTGTAGATATCCCTGGTTCAGCTTCTTGCCCCCTGACAAGATAGTCACGTGTTACAGATAAGGTAAATCTCAACCCTAAGTCAGGAAAATCAAAGGACATTTATCATAGATTTAGGGCTGCAGCAAAAAGATTGTAAGGCGTGATTCGTGTGTGTGGAAATGAAACACCGGAGAGACTCTGATCATGAAAACACAGAAAGGCACCAAGAAACGAAAGTAGCAATGAAATCATACGCCTTACATACTCTGAGCAGTGCAAACCCAAGTGCTCACCAAGAAAGGATGGAGGAAGCAAAGATTAAAAGGATTCTCATTTTGAACGTTGCAGTTTTTGGAAGAGAGCCATATCCTTTACTTTCATTCTATCATAATTGAAGGGTTTTGTCCCCTATTATCATGGCGATGAGATTCTGAGAAGTAACATTCACTCAACGAAATTCCTGAGGCAGCAAGTGGAATGAATGGTAGGAAATGAGAGAACCAGGATGGACATCTTTTGTGTGTCCCTTACGTGCAAAGGTTGTGTACAACTCAAAAAGGTAAAGACAAGACGTGACAGATGGCCATTTGGCTAATGTGATCTATCAGACCCCCTGTCCTGAGGGCGAGATGGTTTCCTGCACAACGAGGTGAAGGAGGTGGTTCTGCTCAGCAGTCAACACCGGCCACATCTCCACCTGCAGCGACTTGACGGCTTCCGTGTCCTTCTCGTGGGTAGCCATGACCAAGGACTGCAGCAGCAGAAAGAGCTCCTCGGGGAGCTGGCCACAGCTCTCCTGCCCGTGGGTGTCGAAAGCCTCCCAGGAGTACTTCTCCAGGGTCTGGGCGTGCTCGGGCAGCAGCTTGGCGGGTGGTGGCTGCAGCAACAAGAGGAGCAGCACACGGGACACCTCGCAGCGGATGAGCAGGTCGGAAAAGGCGCCCAGCGCTGCCTGAGAGGGCGCGGTGGTAGCCGCGGCGACAGCAGCAGCGGCTGTAGCAGCACGAGCGCCTGTGGGGCTCGCCGGGAGCAGGGCGGGGGCCCCGCCTGCTCCGGGCTGGGGCCCCAGAGGCAGCTGCGGTGGTTGCTGGGTCTGGGGCCCCGGAGGCGGAGGTGGTGGCGGCGGCGGCGGCGGCGGCAGAGGCAGAGGCGGCTGCACCGCGTGGCCGCCATGCTCGCGCGCCAGGCGCTGCATGCGCGTGAAGACGGCCAGGGCACCGGTGTAGTCGCGCGCCAGCAGCTGGCAGGAGGCCGCGGAGCCGAGCGCCTGCAGCGCGGCCAGGGGCATCAGGGGCAGCTGCAGCTGGGCGGCACGCTGGAAGTGGCCGGCGGCGGCGGCAGGCTGGCCCAGGTCCCGCAGGGCGGCAGCCAGCTCCAGGCACAGGGCGGCGGCGGCGGCCGGCTGACCGAGCTCCAGGTGCAGGCGCACGGCGGCGCCCAGGGCGCTGGCGGCCGACTGCAGCGGCTCGCCGTAGGCGGAGGGGCAGCCCAGGCGCTGCCGCGCGTCGCACTCCTGCCGCAGGAAGAGACGCGCGGCCTCGGTGAGCGCCAGCGCCTCCCCGGGCCCGTGGAAGAGCGCCTGCTGGCAGCGCGCCACTGCCAGCTGGCACCACGCCGCGTAGGGCAGGCACTCCTGGGCGCGTAGCTCGCGGCCCAGCTGCCCGAACTGCTCGCCCGCCTCCGCCACGTTCGGCTTCCGCAGAAACCGCTTCTTCAGCTTGTTGGACACCAGCCGGTACCGGGCCAGGAAGTCCCCGGCCTCCGGACCCGGGCCGGCGCCGCCCGCGCCCACGCCCACGCCCACGCCGCCTACGCCTACGCCCCCGCCCCCGCCTCCCAGGCCGGAGGCCGAGGCCGCCATGTTGCCCGACCTGACGCGCCGACGCCCCGCAAGGTCCCCGCGACGTGCCGTGACGTGTCGCGTCGCGTCACGTGTCGCGACGTGTCGCGTGGCGTCGCGTCACGCTGGGGCCGGCCGTGACCGGGACGCGAGGAGACGCAACGACCGCGACCCGGCTCTGGTCGGCCCCGCCCGCTCCCCTGTTGCCCTGGTGATATGCAAAGAGCCGGGCGGAAGGCGGGGCCGGGCTGGCAGAAGCCGGCGCTTCGCTTGCCGCTGCGAGCTTCCTGGGAAATAACGGGGGCGGGGCTGACTGGACGTGGGCTCCCACGGGTCCTGCGAGTACGGCGTCCTGCGCAGGCGTGGCCTGGCCTGCCCGGGCCAGGCTCCAGCAGTTGCTAGGTTACAGCTTCCCTTGTGGGATGATGCTGAGAGCGCCTCTCGGCATTTCTCCACGCGTGAACGCGACCTTAACTAAGCTCGGAACTTTTGCACGCCCTGAACTCCGTGTTTGCCTTCCCCTGGATCGCCCCGCCCGTCACGAGTCCATCGGTCTTGCCAGGAAACCGCCTGCCCGCACCCACCACCGCTCTCCATCCCACCCTGGGAGTGAGGGTGGGGGTCAGTGCTGTCAGGCCCCACAGCCACGTTCTCATAGGCGCCATCTTAGGGCCACTGCATCAGGCGCGCGAGCCCTGATTTGCTCCGACGGAGGGGTGGGGGCGGGGGACATCTTCTGTACCCCCTCCCCTGCACACCCTTCCCGTCCGGGGCCACCCCATGCTCTGTCACTGGGAGACCCGGGTCCCACCCGGCCCCCATCCCCAGAGACCCCACCTGGACCGCCACCTCAATCCCCCATGTCCATCCCTCCTCCACCTCTGGAGGCCTCCTGGAGACTTTGGTCCCGCCCTCATCCCTGAAGACCCCGGACCACCTCCACCGCCACCTCCCCAACCCCTAATCCTCGTCCGCCCCTCCTTCAACCTCTGGATGCCTTCTGGAGACCCCGATCCCACCCGCCCCCATCCCCGAAGACTCTGCCTGCACCACCATCCGGTCTGCCCCTCCACCTCTGGATGCCTCCCAGTTCCCCACCCCACCCCACCCCTCTCCAACCCATCCCATCCAGACCCCCAACTGAGTGAAGCAGGCTCCTGGGGTGCTTGAGATCGTTTATTGGCACAACCAACGGAAGGCACAAGCCAGACCAGGTTGGGGGGGAGGGGGTGGGGGTGCTGCCCGGCTGGGCCGGTGGGCCGGGGTGGACGGCAGATAAGTAGTCCAGGGCCAGGCGTCAGGAATCCTCCTGCTCCTGCTCCCCGTCCTCAGCAGCATCTAGGGCCGGGCCGGGGCCACCCGTGAGATGGTGGTGGTGCCGAGGAGGGTGCAGAGCAGCGCGTCTTTGAGGGTGGCCACGTCCAGCAGCTCCCGGGTGATGCGCCTGCGGGACCTGTAGCGGGCCTCACGGTCGGCCAGCTCCAGTACGGTGGCACTCAGGAACTGCAGCGTGGCGGCCAGGAACACCGACGCAGAGCAACTCAGGCGCTGCGCGTAGCGGCCATCGCACAGGGCGCGCTCCACCTGGCTCACGGAGAAGATCGGCTCGGCTCTGGCGGTGGGGGAGCGGGCTCGCCGCCTCTGGGTTCAGCGCGACGACCCCCGACGGCTGCTCTGCCGCGGCATGGGCGCTGGGTTCGACACCTCTGGCTCTGCCTCCGCTTGATCGACGGGCTCGGCTCTGCTTGGCTACGCTTGGCTCGGCTCCGGTCCAGGGCCACACTCTGCCTGCCTGGAAGCTGCTGCGCCGCGGCCACTGCGTCTGTCCAGTACTGGCGCTGTCCACGGACGCTACTCCGTCTCCTAGCGACCCCGAACCGCCATTTATAGGACTGGGGGCGGGGGGGCCGCTCCTCGCCACGGGCCAGGGCGGCGGGCTGATGTGAGGGTTCCCGTGCACGAGAACGCGCGCTGCCTCATGGGAAGTCTAGACTGGATGACCGCCCGCGGTGCGCCTGCAAGCTGCTCCTCCAGGGTCGTTCCTTTGTGGCCTACCGACCCTGAGGTGGTCGCTCGTTGGTCAGGGCCAAGGCTTGGCGTGGCATGCTGGTGGTGGTGGTGGTGGTGGTGGTGGTGG